GTTCTTTGCTTTGTCTTATATTTTAGATGCAAAATCTGCTTCCTAATTTGTAAATTTGTAATTTTAAGTTTGTTGTTTTGTTTTGTCGAAACATCATTAAAAACTATACATTTTCTACTTTTAATGATTAATATTTTCAAAACTATCAGCCCAAAAGGTTTACATACGCATATTACTAAAATCAGAATTTTATAATCTATTCGAATCTACAAAAAAAAGGGTTTCCAATTTAAAAAAAAATGGCCGACGTCATTGCTTTTACAAAAAAGTCGGAAAATATTAAAATTTTATATGAAAATGTGCGGAATTGAAAAACAAAATAGACGTGTTCAAGGATTTTTTTTTAAATAAAAAGGGAATTTTTAAATGAATTTGTTCTATACTTTTGTAGGTCATTAATTTTTTTGTTTAAATAACAATTACTTCAAAACGCGAACTAATGGAACGAAATCCTTAAAGGAATATGTTTTTGGGGTGGCACTATTTCATAATCAGTAAAAAGATATTATCTGAGATTTTTACTGTCGCACAGTGTAATTATCGTCAATAGAAATAGTCAACTCCTATGTAAAATTGTCTGTTGAATCCGAAAATGTCAAAAGTTATAAAAGGGTAATTCCATTTATTAGCCACCAATGAGTGCACCTCATATACTCTAATTTTATTTCTTTTTTAACTGTAAATAGACATGGACCCAAGAAGTGAAAAAAACTCCCCTTTTCTTTTCTCCCCCTATCACCTATTTATACAGGGCTACGCAAAAGTTACTATGCAGACCTAACTTAAAAAAATTGTACTTTTTTTGCTAATAAAGCTATCGACATTAAACAAACTGTTAATTGTTAAGAAAATATTTCTCTTTTAAACCATATAGGACACATTTAGTTATTGATGCCCTAAATGGTCTTTGGGAATTTTTTTAAAAATGCAATTTTTTGGCAAAATTGTGTAATTTTATAAATTCATATATTCTTAGAACAACTTGCCAGCAAAATTTTTTTAATGTAGTTTGTTACCATAGCTCTTACTCTATATAAAAGCAATGAAAACATTTTCAAATAATATTGGCTAAGAGTTCAAAAAAATATAATAAAAATCTATGTTTTCGAAAAATCACTATTTTCAGCCATTTCATGGTTTAAAAAGGCTATGTTTGAGTGAGTCGATTTAAACCAATTTATGCTTATCATCATTGTGATACCTACGTACAAATATCGGTTACAGTTGCATCCACTCGCCATTCTATTATTTGTTTTCATCCTTAGTACAAGATTCAATCTTGGAAAATCGCAAAAAATATTTTTATCCGAAATCTGCCGAAAGTAGTCAACAATCGGCAGTAAAGTAAAAGAAATCGGCAGTAAAGAAGAACTTTATTTCTTTAACTTTACTGCCGATTTTATTACCTTCTTGAGAGGATTTGTTTATGGGTTTATATTTGGGTGCGACTTTGCGTCTGTCGTTGTTTTTAACGTATAATGTAGCATTTTTATAGTCAGGGGGGTTGGCCTGTCTTTTCTTGTTGATTTCATGAATTTCATTTTTGGCAAGGGCGTTATTTTCAATAACTTTATTTTTTACAATTTGTAGGTTTCGATTATGGGTTTGAAGGTAATTATGTATGACGTCTTTCTCGGTAAAGTCGAATGGATCTTTTCGTTGTCCAAAAACGATTTCGTATGGGGTATGGTTCGTAGCGGAATGTACAGTGTTGTTATAGCCGAGTAAAACTAATTTTAATAATTGATATATTGGAGTGTTTTTGTTTTCAATTCTAAGCGTTCTTACTTGTTCGGTGAGTGTGGAATGAAGTCTTTCGACTGGGCTTGCTGAGTTGGGGTTGTGGATTGTAGTAAAATGAATATTAATTTTGTATTTTTCGCAAAAATCTATAATTAATTTATTTTTGAATTCAGTGCCATTATCGACAGTTATCTTTTTTGGAAGTCCGAAATGAGAGATATAAGTAATGAGATTATCGAAAATATCAATAGCGTTTTGTGTAGTCGGGTACATTTGTGCATATCTGGAAAAACTATCTATCATCACTAGAAAATTTTCGTTTTCGATTTTAAAGGTATCTAAGTATAAGTGTTCGAATGTTTCTGTGCCTATGGGTGCGTTAGAGAACTGAATTTTATTTGGATGTCTTTCATATTTTGACATTTGGCAGGGTTCGCAGGTGTTAATGAAAATTTGTACATCGGAATGCAAGTTTGGCCAATAGTATGAATTTTGTAAAGATTTGATAGTAGCGTCTATTCCTCTGTGGCATGTTTTCGCTACGTGGTGATATTTAATTTTCTCTTTTTGTTCGTTTTCGTTAATGATATCTTCTAAAAAGATATTGCTTTGAATGATTTTATAACTATGGTTTTTAAAAGTATCTTGGATAGTTCTAATAATTAAAGGTATGCTTTGTTGGTTTTTGAAATATATACCGTAGGTAGTTTTGGGTTTTAAGAATGCTTTAATGAATTCTATTAAAGTATGTTTAAAATTGTTAGTGGGTATAGTGACTGTGATTCTAGTGTTTTGGAACATTTTCGTTACATTCGTACTTATTTGCATAGTTTGGGCTGATTCGTTAAAGACGATTTGATTTTTAAATGTGTTTGGCTCTTTTCTGATATGGGTATTGTGAATATTGGGTTTTCATGTGAAGAATGAACAGTGCCGTTTTCACTTGGGGGATTCGGAGGTTTTATAGTTATATCAGAAAGGATTTTTATTTGTTTTGTTTTAGACGCTTGTTTGAGTTGTCTTTGTATGAACTCTAAAGTACTATCTAAATCATCTAAATCATTAGGGTCTATATTGTCGCCGTCATTTGCGATTATAGAGCAATTGTCGGATTCTTGGTCATTTTGTATTGAGTGAGTGTGTATTTCTATGCGTGATAAAGCATCAGCATTCGAGTTTTGGCATCCCTTTTTGTAAATTACTTCGTAATCAAACTCTTCCATTCGTAGTCTCCAACGGACTAAACGTGAATTGGGTTCTTTGAGATTAAAAAGCCATTGTAGTGGTTTGTGATCGGAGTAGACTTGAAATTTTCTACCGTATAGATATGGTCTGAATTGTTTAGTGGCAAATACGACTGCTAACATTTCTTTTTCTATTGTTGAGTAATTTTGTTCTGCCGCGTTAAGTGTTTTTGAAGCAAAAGCAATTTGTAAATCTTGACCTATGGGGCCTTGTGAAAGTACTGCGCCTACGGCTACATGTGAAGCATCTGTAGTTACGATGAATGGTTTTTCGAAATCAGGATATTGTAGGATTGGTGGATTCATTAGTATATTTTTGCATTTTTCGAAACAGTTTATAAATTCTTGGGTATGCGTGACGGTTTGGTCCTTTTTTAAGCATTTAGTCAAAGGTTTGGTAATATGGGCGAAGTTTTTTATAAATCTGCGATAATATCCTATCAATCAAATGATTTAATTTCCTTTTGGGTTTTAGGAATAGGGAATTTTTTTATTGCTTCGATTTTCTTTGGGTTTGGTTTTATACCATTAGGTGTGATAATGTGTCCTAAGAATTCTACGTCCTTTTTAAAGAATTCTGATTTGTCGAGTTGTATTTTTAGGTTAGCGTCGCGTAATCTGTGAAAAACTTGTATAAGGTGTTCTTTATGTTCTTGTAGTGATTTTGAAAATATGATTATGTCGTCCATGTAGACTAAGCAGCAGGTATTAAGTAAATCTTTAAGTATAAAGTCCATTGTTTTTTGGAACGTGAAGGGAGCGTTTTTTAATCCAAATGGCATCCTAACAAATTCGAAGTGGCCATTTTCTACGTTAAACGCAGTTTTTTCTATGGATTCTTGATCTACTTCAATTTGGTGAAACCCGGAAGCAAGATCAAGGGTCGAGTAGTAAATAGATTTACGTAATTTGTCTAGGATGTCTGTTATGTTTGGTAAAGGGTACCTATCGTCGATTGTTTTGGAATTCAATTTTCTATAGTCGATTACTATTCGCCATTTCTTTTTACCGGAGGCATCTATCTTTTTGGGTACTATCCAAATAGGGGATGACCAAGGAGAAGAAGAGGGTCGAATTATACCGTCGGTTAGCATTTTGTCGATTTGTAATTGTATTTCTTGTTTGTGTATGTGAGGATATCTGTAAGATTTTGTATGTATTGGTGTTTCGTCGGTGGTCCGTATGACGTGTTTAATTTTGTTCGTGTATGTAAGAGGTGATTTTTCTCTGTATAGAAGGTCCTGGTATTCATTAATGACTTGAGTAATTGTTCGTTTTTCTTCATTGTTCATATGTTCTGTTCGAATGAGACGTATGGGGTTTTCAAGTGTGTTATGTTGTTCGCGGGGTTGAGTGTTTGCTTGGAAATTAAATACTTCAAAATTGTTCTCTTGGAAAGGCGTTACCTGAAAGGCATCGATAAATGTCGCGATTTGGGTTTTGGGGGTATTATTGTAAATTTCAAATTGGGCTAAATGGTTTTTTGCTATAGTTACTGTTTCCGGAATGAAAAGTTCGTTCAGTTTAGTTTCTGGTATTATAATTTCTCCGTCTTGAATGTTTACAGGAAAGTTTCTCAAAAGCGTTTCGAAAGGTGGTATTTCGATTGTGATGTAATTTTCGTTTGGCTGTCGGTAATAAAAAGGTATTTTGTTATTTGTATTTGAAAGACATTTGTTTGGTATATCGATAACATATTTCATATCGATCAAGGCTTGTAAACCTATTATACCATCGAAGAAATCATGGAAATTAAATAAGAGAATATTATATTATAATTGTTATTTTTAAATTCAGGGAAAACTGGTATTTTGCATCTATTTAGGATTTCTTTAGAACCAAGAGAAGTTGTGATTAAAGAGGGGTTATGAAATATGGAATTAGGGAAATATTTTTCTGCGACATATGGTCTTAAAATAGAAGTGGAGCATCCTGTATCGATTAAAAGTTTTATATTATATTTTTTTATAAAAATATATGGCAGGGCGTTTATGTTGGAAGAATTGATTTCGATTAAGTTTGTTGGTCGTTTGTCGTAACCTGATGAAAATTTGAATTGTTTTCGCACGAGTTATTTCCGTCTTCTGAATAGTTATTATAGTTATCCGTGTGTTGGTTTTCGCAATGATCGTCGTAATAGTCATCTTGTATATCGTCTGAGTAGTCGTAATCATTGTCGTATTGATCTTCTTGTGGTTCGTTGGTCAAGAAGTTACTGTATTCGTTGTTAAATAGTTCTTCGGAGTGAAAATTACGTGGTTGATTGTTGTTTTTAAAATAATTATTATTAGTATTAAAAGATCTATAACCTTGAGTTTGATGTTGTGTGTTTTGTGGTACATTGGGTCGTTGTGTAAGTCGAGTTTGTGTTGTCATGGGTGTGGGTGTGTAATTTGGTTTATTCGAATTTTTTGGAGCCCAAACATTTTGAGTGGGTTTACCAAAAACTTGTTGATTTGTTGGGAAGTTTGTCTTTACTGGCCGGGGGTTAATGTTGATCGGTTGGCTTGGCCAATTATTGGTTGTGTTAGTCGGTCTTTGATACGATGTATTTGGGAAAGAGTTAAAAGAATGATTTGCACGATTGGGGTTTATTGCAGGGGAATAGTTTCGGTTTATATTGGTTTGTCTATTTGGAAAATTTTGTTTTTGTGACGTAAAAGAGTTGTTAACTCTTTGATTGTTATTTTGAAATTGAGTGGGTCTGTGTGGTTTTTTAAATCTAGCGAGTCTCTGATCTAAGTGATTGTTTCGTAAAACAATTGCAGTCGCATTTTCAAGATTTGCTGGTTTTTCTGTTCTTAAAATCATATGTAATTTTTCGTCAACGTTACCTAGTAAATTTTCTAGTGCAGTTTGTTCGGATTGTTCGATATATAATTGTTTTTGTTCGATAGATAAGTAGGGTCAGAATTGATTTTAATTTGTAGAGAGGATTTAATTTGATTAATTCTATTAATGAAATCAAGAGCATTCTCATTTCTGTGTATTGTCATAATGTTAAAGTCATGCATTAGTGTCAATCTGTCAAGGTGGTCACCGAATTTTATTCTAAGCAACTCTTTTATTTGGGGCCAGGTTTCTACGTCAGGTCTACACATGATATAATTAGCGGCTTCTTGTTCTAATTTAGAAAATATCATCAAAAAGACGTATTTACTAAGCGTATTGTCTTCTGTTTGTCCAAAGGTTAGGTGAAAATTGTCACATGTTTTAATAAAGAATTCTAATGTATCGGGGTTACCGGAGTACTTGGGAATGGTAAGAGCGAATTTCTCTGCAGCATAGGCTTTGCTAGAGTGAACAGGGGCTTCTGTGTTGTTAGGCATTTTGATTATATTATTTAAAAAAGGGCTTTTAGAAATAGCAGTAACAGTTGATTTTTCGAAATAAGTAGGATTTGAGTCAATAATTTCGGTGTTTATTTCTTTTAAAACTGTGGATAGTTCGTTAAAATTAAAACTAGTCATAAAATACTTTCAAAACTTAATATTTTGTTGTAATTTTCAGATAATATATCTTGATTTTGAATAGTTTAATGTTTTATTGTTTAAGATTTAAGGATAGATTTTTATCAACAAAATTTCTCCATCTACAAAATATTTGCATCAATTACTTAAGTTACTAAGGTGAAATATTTTATCAGTAAATATTTACCTATCCAAAATTAAATTGGTAAGAGGTTTTCCGCGGTCACTTTATTCAGAAAAGGATTTTGGAAGGAATAGAAAAATTGTTAAACGCACTTACTTTCAGCGTAGTGGTGACGACTTCTCTATTTTCTGCAGGATTACTGTCGAGATGTTTGGAGTTCTGTAGAAACTTCTTGTGGTATACTGGATGAACTGTTGAAACAGACGATTGAACTGGTCACTCAGGTAGAACAATCTTCCAGTATCCTGTCGGCAGCGCCAATTTTCTTTCTCACGTTGTGAACTTGGTTAAAAATATTTATTTATTTGTTTAAAACACAATATTGAGACTTTGAAAATACATTTATTTTGTTCTACAGACTAGATGTTACTTGTACAACTATCAAAACAGTAATAATCTAAAAAATGGATTTTACCCTTATTTATACATTGTCTATCTATCTTAATGTCTAAGGTTAATTCTATTTTGCAATAAGTCGCTTATCACTATTGCATTAAAACTATAAAACTTAACTACTATGTTCTTATATCTAACACATGGTACAAAGGGGTGTATTGTGAGTGGTTACATAACTAGCTCTGCGAATTTAGTCTATATTTAATTTAATTTAAAATTATGAGTGACTTTGGTGATGATCATACTGGCAGTGTTATGGAATGGGTAATAGAAGAAGGTGTGAAGAAACGGAAACGCAAAAGATCTAAGGAAGAATTGTTAAATAAAAGAATATCATTAAGTGAATTGGAGAAAGATAAAATACGCGAAATTGTCGGGGCGCAAAAAACACAGGGCAACAAAAAAACATCGGTAACAAAAAAAACTACACAACACAATAATGAAAACAACATAAATCAATCTACAGGGTGTCCCCCTAATAATACAACTAATACAGAAACTTCTAAAAATCCACAAAACTCTAATGCATCAAATTCTCAATACTCTTTACCTAATACTTCAAATTTACAACATTCCTCACCTAACAAAATAAACAACTATTCTCAAAAAATGAACCAAATTATCAACAGAAACTACAATAACACTATTTTTGTCACAAGTGAAGATCTCACAAGAATCCAATTCTCAGATATCTGGACATGTCCTGCAGTACTGCAGTACTAGGAGAGGCGAAAAACGATGTTGTTATTAAAACTAAAAAAGGTTTTATTTTAAAATCTGTCAGAACAATGGTGATTCTAAAGGCAGCACTACAAAAATTAATGAATCAAAGTATCATAAAAAGTTTTGAAAACAGCAAAGCCCCATCCAAGGAAAATCACGAACCCCGTAGTAACTTTACCTATGCCGCAGTAATCTCTTCAGTGGAATATGAAATAAAGGATGAAGAAATTATATGTACTAAATGTCAAGGAAATCACAATGCAAACTCCTGTCAAACAACTCTCCCCCCAAAATGCTTAGCGTGCAACCCAACCGATCACACTGCCTGCCCAAGCAGCATTTTTGGTTCCAAAAACCATTGCCAAAGTGGTGATAACTTTAAATTAGTTAAGTATACTAAACAGCTACTTTAATTTTTACTTAAAAGTAATTCTAACTTTTAAATAGCAATATTTTGGAACAGAAACTTAATTTTTCCTTAAATTGTTACTATAAAGTAATAAACATTTAAGTAAAACTTGGTTGCCCCCAAGAAGACTTTGCAACTTTAAAAAAGGTGTTATAAGTAAAAAAAACTTTCAAGTAAATTTAATTTGTAGCAGTTACTTTCGGTTGCTACCTAAAGATTACATTATAATTATTTTTACTTTGTAGTCCCTTTGCAAGTTAAAATCTCGAAACTGGAACATGAGTTAAAAACTACAAAGTTAATAACTTAAAAGTTATTATTTTAGTATTTGGAACGTTTATGGTACTAACCAAAACAACCGTAAAGTGGAAAAAAACTTTAAAGTAGCGAAAACTACTTCAAAGAAAAATGCTTCTTATCGGCCATTTTTTACTGTACAGTACCACGTGGTAATGTAAATAATAAATTATTTTAATTGTTTGTAAATGGTTGTTTACTTTTTAATAAATAGCAATTTTGTTGGTAATAGATGGTATTAATAATTAAATAAAAAAAAATAATAAATATTAAGATTTTTTTATTTATAAACATTACTAAATAAATAATTTGTTTATACTTAAATATTGATGAAGCGCATTTATTTTACAAAAACTAAATTCATAAGTTCAACAGTAAAATTTAAAGGGTTTATAAATTTACCTGTCTAATTAAACATTATATTGTTATTCTGGTTATAAAGTTATAAACTACCAGTACATATTTAATAAACGACGACATTGAAAAGCCAAGTCCGTAGTGGTTCCATTTAAAAAAGGAGGGATAGTATAATCTAATATAAGTTTGACAACCCATGGGAAAAAATCGTTTAAAAAAAAGACGATCGTCTGAAGAAGATCGTCTATTTTTAAACGATATCGCTTAATTTTTTAAACGATCTTTTGTAAAAAAGACGATCATCTGAAGAAGATCGTCTACCTTCAAACGAAATCGTTTAATTATTTAAACGATCGTCTTTAATCGTCTAAAATAATAGCCGACCCTAAAGACGATCGTTTAAAGTGATAAACAATACAAAAGGTAATCGTCTAAAATAATAGTCGAAAAAAGACGATCGTTTTAATTAAAATTTTAAGTTATAACTTAACCGATGAGAAAATATTTTTATTTTGTCATAATTATTAATTAAATTAATTAAAAAAACAATTCTAAAGGCGATACCTAGGTACCTACTTCGAATAATAGACAATTCCAAATATTCCAAAGTATATTTGAAATTCTTTATTATAATAGAGAAGAATTTCAAATATATATTTCGTCTGTACAGCCGACCGCCTAACCTAAGCAACCGATTTAATCGTTTGAAAGTCGATCGTTTGAAAGACGATGGTTTGAAAGACGCTGGACGAATTCGCGTCTAAAGACGATCGTCTTTAGACGATTTTTCCCCATGGGAAAGACAGTTAATATAGAAGTAAAAACAAATAATAAAAGTAATTATAACGCTCTAGCAACGATATTGGAACGTTCTAGTAACGTAGCAGCTACGTTCCAAATAGTAGCAGGGTTTATAGCTAGTGACATATTTGCTACCTTTTTGGAACTCAATAATTGTTCCCCACTTTAGTAGTAACTTAGTAATGAAAGAGTAATATAAAGAGACCGGCGACTGTCGCAAAACACTTTAAAGTTTCTTCAATAGTCCCATATACGTAACAAATACTTAAATTGTTGCTTGGGTGGTCTATGGCATGCCCAAAAAGGCCTACTAATCCCATTGACGGCATACCAATATTCAGTGATGTAATGTATCGAGATACATGTATCTAGATACTGGATCTAGATACATTTTATGTACCTAGATACGTATCGAGATACTTAAAAAAATCAGGATCTACTGTAGTATCTAGATCCTTTTGAAAGTATCTAGATCCTTAGATACAAGTTACATTTTATTTTACCCAACCTGATTGCAACTCTACACCGTGTGGGCCACACGGAAAATGAACATCCAATGGATATACTCTATGGATATCCAGGATATATACCTACATTGGATATTCTTGATATTTCCGTTTTTCATGGATATTTCGTCAATTTTATCAAAACAGTTTTAATTTATAGTTAACACGCTTGTTTATAAGGTCCAAAAATTTTTTCTTGTCATTTAATTTTTAAGTTTTTTTAACATAGTATCTGGAAGTAACTTAGATACTTTTTGAATGTATCTGTATATGTACCCAGATACTTTTGGGAAAATGTATCGGTATCTGTACCCAGATACATCTACCAGAGAGTATCTGTATCGGTACCTAGATACTGAAAAAAATGTATCGGTTACATCACTGCCAATATTACAATTAAGTCTAATAATAAAAGATCAGCTGAATTAGAAGTTAAAACTAGGAAAGAAAGCAGAATCCATAACACATATACAACACATGATCTAATAATTGACACATACATAACTAAAATGAACAACCCAAAATATTCAAACAGACAAGATCTTAAACAAAAAATAAAAAAAAGATTTATAAACTTATATAACATTGATACGGACTGTGTTTTTTCTGGTAACAAACTCTGGCACACCTACTGAACCTAAAGAAGGCACTCAATATACAACTAACCA